CCCCGCAGGGAGGAAGGCGGGCGGCGTGCCATCGGGCGCGCCCCCCGAGCAACAGGAGGAAAGGGATATCGGGGCAGGCGAGCGGGGGGATGATAAGTGCAATTCTTACACCTCTGAGTTGGGCCATCAGTACCCCAACAATCCGATGGCAACAACGACGCCCTCGCAACAAGCACGGATCAAGCAGGCCCGTGCGGCTCCAGAGGCTCGCCGGGGCGCTGGCCCCTCTCCAGCGCGGCGAGGCGCTCATAAATATCTCGGTTGGCGAGGCGGAGCCGCTCCCTCGCGGCCGTGCGCACCTCGAAAGACAAGTGCTCAGCCGCGTCCGCCGCGCCGCCAGGGCGAGTGATCGCAAAATGCTCGGCCTTGCTGCCGAACTGGCCGCTGCACTCGAGCCACGCAAGCAACGTGCCCAGAGGCCTGCCCTGGAACGGGCGGCCGACTGGATTTGGATTCTCCTTGCAAGTGCGGTTCAAACGACATTGTTTGCCATGCGCTAAGCATCCGCAGTGGGCCGAAAGCTGGTGGAGCTTCGTGTCGTATTTCAAACATGCTCTCGGCCCTATATGGGGCATCGGAAACTCGGGATGGTCGACCCTGTCTCCGCCAAACACGGGGGCCGCGGGAGGTGGCGGCGGCGGCGGCGGCGGAGCCGCGGCCACCGCGCACTCGGGCTCTGGAGGAGGCCCTGGGAGATGCACCACTGGAGGCGGCTCTGGCGGCGCAGGTGGCTCGGGCCCAGGCGGAGGACCTGGCGGGCCTGGCTCCACACCAGGCAAGCCCTCAAGGAGGTGCCCAATCTCGACCTCGACGTCTATCTCCATCTCCTCACCAGGGTGGTCGACGTGACCGCCGTCGCCAGGGGAGCGGGGGCTGCCTGGCGGGGAGGGCCTGTCGATATCCACCAGGACGTCGGGGCCAGCCTCGGGCCCTCCGATCGCCAGCGGCCGGCGCCTCCGCTGATCCAGGTCGGACCTCAGCACGCCTTGATCCTCCAGCGCAGGGGCTGGCGGAAGATCGCCCCCGCTGAGGATGCTCGCGTACACCGCAGGTGCGCGACCGTGCGGAACGTGCTCGATCCTCGCGCAGAGCTCCTGCCAGCCATGGCAGAACATCGTCGTCGTCGTCATCGTCGTCGTCGTCGTCGTCGAGGGGGCGAGGAGGCGAGGAACGCTTTGGACGACGTCGTCGTCGTCGTTCCTCGCAACCTCGCCCCCTCGACGACGACGATGACGACGACGACTACGACGGCGACGACGACAACTTAGTTCGGCACCCCTGCCCCGGCGAGCGTCCTCGGCAATCGTCAGGGCATGCAAGTGCTCCTGGTGGATTGGCGCTGTCGCCACAACGGTGCTGTACATTATCTTCGGGTCGCCCGGCTTGTAGCCGTCGGGGCAGCGGCGCAGGGCCCTCGTCGGCTTGACCCACGGGCGCCACTGCCAACCAAGGGATAGGGCGGGACCATGGGTGAGACATGAGGAGGAGGAGGAGGAGGAGGAGGAGGAGGAGGAGGAGGAGGAGGAAGAAAAAGAAGGAGGGGGGGAGGTGGAGGAGGGAGAGGAGGAGGAGGAAGAGGAGGAGGGGAGGAGGGAGGAGGAGGAGGAGGAGGAGGAGGAGGAGGAGAAGCAGCAGCAGCAGGTAGCGGAGGAAGGAGGAGGAGGAGGAGGATGGGGATGACGAGGCGGAGGAGGAGGATGTGGAGGGGGAGGCGACCGTCGTCCAAGAGCGCCACGAGCAGCTCATAGGAGGTCTTCTCCTCGGCCGGCACGTCCCTGATCGCCAAGGCGGGCGCGGGCTCGGACAACAACCAGAGAGACTGGGGGCGGTCGCCCTCGAGCGCGCGCTTCGAGAGGCAGCCGCGCAGCGCTCCATCATCATCGAGATAGAGCTCCACGAAGCCCAGCGCGTCCAAGGACTTGACGGCCTCGAACAGCTCGCCCTCCAGATGATCAACCCGCGGCCAAAAGCTCGGCCACGCGTTCTTCTCCTCGTTCCCTGGATGAGCACTGATCTCGACGAGAGTCGTGACCACCTGCGTCAAGAGCGGCTCTGCCACGCTGTCGGGAGGCACCGACGGGATGGTGTACTGCAAGCGCGGGGCGTCACCCCACACCAGGAAATTCTCGCGCAGGGTCTGCGGCTTGCCAAAGTCGTGCAGGATGTGGACGCTGCCAGCGCTGCCAGCGCTCCTAACAGCAGGCGCCGCCTCAGTCCCCCTGGTGGTGTCGATCGGGAAGAGCGTCAAAGTCATGGCATTCCTGCCGAGGCGCCTCCCCGCGCCCGGCGCAACCTTCACCGTCTTCTTGCACCCGACGTCGGTCAGAGCAACCTAGTGGCGACAAGCGATGTCATCCTACTCATCTTCCTCCGCTCACTCCTGCTCCCTCATCCCCCCACTCTTCCACCGCCCGGCTACCCTCTGCCCCCTAACCATGCGCCTCCTCCCCCCGCACTTGCCCAAGCGCCCGTTCGCCCTCGCACCTCCATTCCCTTTTCCTACCCCCATCCCCTTCCTCCTCCTCCTCCTCCTCCTCCTCCTCCTCCTCCTCCTCCCCTGTCTTCAGACCGCCACCCCCGCAGCTACAGGGTCCCAAAAGCGGGGGCAGGGGGAGGCCATGGTCGACCGAATGGGCTTTAAACTCTCCAACCTTGAAGACGATGTCCCTAGGCAAGTCGTCCCCGGCGTCCGCGATGGCCAACATCTCCTCGCCGGCGGCCACCCTCGCGCGCTTGGCGCGAGCCCTCTCCGCCTCCGCGGTGGCCGAAGTCGCCATGAAGCGCTCCAAGGGCTCGACGTTGGCTGCGGCAGCTGCGGGCACTGAATAGAACCGACCTGGCTTATGCTGCTCCCGGAAGTGCTGAGTGATCGCCAACTTGAGGATGGTCTCCTGTCCGTCGTGCCAGAAGGCGCTACTCTCTTTCGCCTCCACCCGCGCTCTTTTTTCTTTCAGAGACTTATCTTCGCCCTTGAAGCTGCGCAGCGAGCGGTAGCAGTTATTGATGTCGCAGTGGTAGAAGATGCTGCTTATGATCGGGACGAGCTCCGAAGTCTGGTGCTGCCTGGCGCGGATGCTGATCACCAGCGGGTGCAGCTCGAAATGGAGCAGCT